TTCACCTATATGTTCGGATGTTCACGAGTCCTTGATCCTAGAAAAGTCAGTTGGACATCCTCCACAACAAGTCTGATGCCAATTAATTGATTCCAAGGGATGGAAGGCTTGTTGGCCCGGAGGACGCGCGATCCAGGATTCAGCACTTGGCCTGCGCGCGCGGTTAGCAGCTCCACATACTACTGCATTACTAAGGCCCCTGTTGTGGTACCTGTCTATTACTAATTCGGTGTTTTACCGATTCTACAATTGTCATGTGCAAGTCATATGCATGGCGCATCCTGGAGAAGCTGACCAACTTTTGCGAGAATTCACGATGACTCAGGTGTTCCGTGCGACATGCTCTCGTTGGCACTGTGGTATGGTTCACGATGGTTGATCTTGATGAAGTTCAGACACCAGCGTCGTCCACCCCAGCTTTACTTACCTCCCACGGCACCTACCGTGGGCGAAATTACCGAGTATAAACAATTGCAAAACAGCCCAAAGGGCTCTCAAAATTGGTTTCTCTGTGACGTCGGCCTTTAAATACTTTGTGTGAATACTAATTAGAATCATTCGGCTTCCAACTACGTCACGTCCCAATTCGTTGCAAGTCTACCGATCAGCATTACTATGATGGTGGCTATTTCCGAGACACATTTGGCCGATTGCGTAGAGTTGTCGCGCCGACTGCGAATGCTCTTTATGACCGAAAGAGAGCCAATTCGTTGGCGTGAGTCATCAAATGCTTGTGGACGGCAGATTAATTGACCGGACGCTGTTAGACAGAATTTCCTGCAAAATCAAGGGACCATGAATCTCCTAAAGGGCAGTCACATTACTTTCCAGGATTTTTTGTATCTGTAGGGCATTTGTCGTTGCTAATCGAACGCATTTATCGATCTACAACATTTGAGCGAAATTCACACTTCACCAACCCTCATTTTTGAAAAATTGGCAATATTGCTCCAAAAATTTTTCTCCGAAGAGGGCTTGAGTACAAGCTTCCGCCGGTAGAGCTTGACCCGGAGAACACCATGATTACACCTACCGGGTAACAGCAAAAGGATAAAAAAAACTCTCGGCTCCAATCGTTTTAGGGGAGTGCCACGCATTCTGCCTACATTC